AGAGGCTGAGGCCAAGAGGGGAGCAGTTATTAAAGCAGAGAATGCCTGGGATATCACCATTTTCTTTTCACATCAGGGTCTTTGAAAATCCCGACTAGTCTGGAAGCAAGTACTGGACGGCAAAGACGAAACTTACCAATTTGTAAGAGCAACTTGGATGTGGCCACTCATTAGTCTACAGCATATTCTGCTTTAAAAGAGGAAACGGTACACAGGAAACATTACTCTCCTTTTCCCCTCGCTGACTATTTCAACTAATAGGCTTATGCATTAGTCACTTTGCTAATGAGTAGTTTTACCCTGGCTCTCCGTGAACTAGGCCAGAGAGGGGCCCTGCAAACTCTTGGAACACCTCGTGAAAAGTCCTGTTCTTGTTGACCCATTAGCAGAGAGGTGAGACACGCCGGGGACCAATGTTTGTATATCCGAGCTAGGTTTGGAAATTTAATTGTTTTTCTAAAAATCTCAGTTGAGAAAAGTTGAGGATTTGATAATAGAGTGAAAATAGTACATTCTAAGACCTACTGTGTTCTTATTTTTCATTGGCCTCTCCCACTTTCATAGTCCAGAAAAGCAAACAAGGGAAAAACTGCTTCACCATGTCTTCTACATCAGAGGTTCTCACCCAGGGGCAATTGTGCCCCCCAGGGGACACTTGGAATTTGTCTGGAGACAGTTCTGGCGATCACCCCTGGAGTGAGGATTCTACTGGCATCTAATGGGTAGAGACCAGAGATGCTGCTCGACATCCCACAGTGCACAAGACAGCTTCCACAAGGGAGAATGATCTAGCCCCAAATGTCCAGAGTGCTGAGGCCGAGAGAACCTTCTCTGCCTTAAAATTACAGCTCTATTAGCAAGGAAGTTGGTGTTCAATAATCTTCATAGCTTTGCAATTTAAAAGCCACTGTTTTTAAAGTTAGGTGCCCCTACTGTACTGATATCACTATAAATCACTCATTAAATATCATTTGCTTGGAGTTTGTGGAGTTTTGAAAATGGCAAGTTTATTGCATTTTTTCGGTGTGTAATCGATGTTTTCCAAAATAGAAACCAGGCTAATTGGTCAGATGGAAGAAAATCGTTTCGGAAGACACAGAATTTTATTTTTAATTGCCTCGCTAATCAAAAGCATTTCCCCTTCAGATTGTGGTTCTAACTAAAGAGATGCCCAGCCCGAAAGGAAGTGGTCTGAGGTTCAGAGTACCCAAGGTGAAGATAGTGGAATCAGCATCTTAACCATTAGCCACTGTAAAGAAGAGATGAGAATCCAGGGCTCTGTGGGAAAGATTTTACCAGACACAAAGGTATCAAATGTCCTGTCTCCCTTCCACCCAAAATAGTTCTGGCCTGAACATGAGGTCCTCAAGGTATCTTCGAGTAAGGAGGAAAAAATCTGTTCTGGGCACTGACAATTACCAACCATTGAGGTTTGCTGGTCAAAGAAGAGGCCAAGAGTGTCTTACTTAAATAATGTTTGTCACTGAGGGACATGGCCTGCTGGTTAAAAAAAAAAAAAAACAATCCAAAAACCCTTTTGTTAAACTTTACCCTGTGCTGGAGAAGCAGGCTCAGGAGGAATCAAAGAGCTATCAAAGAAGCTAAAAGCCTTTCGTGGCAAAGAAAAATCAGCCTGGCGTTAAAATTAATGAAGATGCTGGAAGAGCAGAGACAAAAGTGCTGGAAGGATGAAGATAGAGAAACTATTTTAAGGTCAGTCTCCAAGAAGATGGGGAAAACACATGAGGCCAGGTAGAAGGAAATGCCAACCCCTCCAAATTAACTATCCAAAGAAGGACTACATTTCTTGGAAAAACTGACCCTATGCAAACTTGCAGCTCCAAATACCATTCTTCTGAGTCTATTACAAGAATGGGCTCAAGGGCCTCACCGATCCAGGAGTTTGAAGAGCACTTGAGAGTTTGTTGAAATTTCTGCTCTTCTCCAAAGGAATGTTCCTAGAAGCAGAAATTGGTCTGCTTAGGCTGACAATACTAAAATGATGAAGAGCTCAGATAGGCCCAAGCTGCAGGAATTTAACAAGGTTGTCCAAGTGATGGATACGTAGTGGATGAAGCTCCCGGCCAAAGTTGTGCAACTTGACTTTGTGGATCATCCAAGGCCAGCTCCCTGCCAGGTGAGGGTATGGGGGAGTGTGCGGCTGTCGTGGCTGGCTCCCTACTGTGCAGCGTGCCAGAAGCAGGCTATTCCACCAATACTTTAAGAACATTCTCATTTCCAAGTCAAGAGGGCCCGTGAAAATATGGTGGTGAGTTGGGGTCAACACACTCCAGCAAAGCCAATAATAATACTGAACAATAAGTAACTAGAAGTGCTGACAATCTTTGTTATCGAATCCACTTTTTGAAGGTAAACCAATCAGTGGCTTATCCTAATCAACGAGATGATCACAAAAGGTGGGGATCAAAATAGCAGAAAGTATTGACTTAGTATTTGAAAGCACCAGAGTAAATCAAGAAGAAAAAAGAATTGAATGTGGTAGAAACAATTCCAACAAGGATTAGCAAGAAAGCAAAGATGGTCATGCCCCAACCGGAATAATACTAATGACAATAACACCTAACACTCATTTGCCCCTTACTCTGCACAAGACATTGTTAGGTGCTTCTATTAACATTAGTGTATGAAATCTTTCTCACAGCTCTATAGAGTAGGTACCATTACCCCCCTTTTGTAGATGAGATTCTGAGATGCAAAGACTTTAAGTGATGTGCCCAAGTTTCCTTGACTACAAAGCAGTAGAGCCGGGATTTGAATCCATGTCTGCCTGACTCCAAAATCCGAGCTATTAAACACTATATTCTACTAGCATAAACTTTCTGGCTCTGTGGTGGAGTAGGATGCCCCAGGGGAACAGCGGAAGTTTCATCACTTGGGTTTTCAGACTGAACAAAATATTAGTATGTGTGTCATAGGAAGTAATCTCTAATGGCTCAGGGTGGATTAAAATAATATCTGCAACTTCCATTTCTGAATGTTAAGAACTCTTAATCCACAGCACTGGCCATATTAGTGTAGCCCATTGCACTTTCACACACACTTTCTCATCCGATGCTCACTGAAACCTTGTGAGGTAGGCAAGCCACATATTACCAGGCCTCTTCTCAAAGATATGATAGGCAGTCCCATCAGAAATGAAGCATTGCCAAGTTACTTATCATCAAAAGTATGTGGGAGGAGGGGGAAATGGGATTCCAAAAAAGTTGCTTATTTCAACCCTGAGCAGTTCATAATTTATTTCCACAGCAGCGTGATTGCTTCCTTTTCAACAAGGCTTTGACTCACTCAGAGGAATGTATTCCATTACAAGTCCGCTGGCTTCAGGCTTTATGTAGAACCCGTTGGTTGCCATGACGACCAGTATTAACAAAATACAAACCATGAACTTTTTCAATCCTGGTCACTAACTCACTTCTAACAGTCCACCTCAGAACAGTGGAAGCTGATGGTGCTTCCAAGGGAGTATATATTCATATCTCCATTCATTCCAGAGGGTTCCTCTTTCACATTTGAACAGAATCTCGAGACATCTGCTTTGGGCTCAAAGATAACTTGGACATAAGGTTTTTTTGTTTTTGTTTTTGTTTTTTTGTCTCTGTGGTGAAAGAGTGTTTGGAGAGCAGTGTCTTCAGCCATGATATTCTATTTTTTAAAAACTTGCATTTCTCATACCAAATAAAGGTTTTGCCTCAGGTTGAGGCAAAAAAATTAATACACTGAAGATTAGTAATGGCTTGGTATAGCAAAACCCCTATAGCATTTATTACTTAAGCACCCAGCTCCTATCAGAAGATGTTTATTCACCATACCAAAAGCCTATAAGATGATATGTTTGAATTTTGGAAAACAAGACAATTTTTAAAAATGTATTTATTTTGAGAAAGAGAGAGAGCAAGAGCAGGGGAGGGGCAGAAAGAGAGAGAATCTGAAGCAGACTCCGCACTGTCAGCACGGAGCCCGATGTGGGGCTGGAACTCACAAACCATGAGATCATGACCTGAGTCGAAGTCAGGAGTTGGAAGCTTAACCGACTGAGCCACCCAGGCACCGCAAAAAAGAAGATAATTTCTAAGACACCATAAAACCTCGTTGGTTATAGCTAAATGAGAAATTGGAGGAAAGAGAGGTGGGGAAGTTTAATTTGAAATAGTTTTTCTGAATTGTAGTGAACCTGTTTTTCTTTGCTCAGTGGTCATCCCCAAATCTTCCGACAACACTCTGACTCTCTTTGGGGAGCCACCCTCTACCCCAACTTCAGGCATGTAATTCAGGTACAGTTGACCCCACCCCAGTTCCAGGAATGCACATGTAACACAAGCCTGGGCGATCGATCGGAGTAATGTGTCCCATTGAATATGGAGATTAGTTCAAGGAAAGGCACGTGACCAAAGTCAGGCTGATCTAAGCCAATAAGATTCAATTCCACAATTTTATTTTGTTTTGTTTTTAAGATTTTGTTTTTAAGTAATCTCGATACCCCATGTGGGGCTCGAACTCACAACCCCGAGAACAAGAGTCTCTCGCTCCACTGACTGAGCCAACCAGGTGCCCAAATTCCACAATTTTTGTTGGAGTTCTTGGGACAGAGGGATGATCTTTGGGGTTGCTGAACAGGTGTATGAAAGCCTAGAGCCACTGGCAACGATCTTGCTACCAAGAGGAAATAGTAACCTGAGAACGGAATCTACTTAGAGGGAAAACAGAAGACAGATAGAAAGAGTAAGACCCAATTTCCAATGACATTGTTTGAGCCCCTGAATCAAGCCTTGCCTGAAGTTCGTCTCTGGACTTTTTGGCTATTTGACCGATAGATTCCTTTTCTCCTTAACTTTAGTTCAGCTGGATTTGTTATTTACAACCAAAAAAGTCCTGATCAATAGAGAAAAAAGATGTATATTATTTTATTTTATTTTTTTGTTGAATTGCTCTGTGCATTTATTCGCTATTATTAATGCAGCGAAGAGGGCACAAAAGCTCACAAACACTGTATGTAGTTTCACTGGACACATCGCAGAGAAAGGAGTGACTTGAGAAGGATTGACAGTATTGTGTTCTGGTGGACACACTCCTGGGGGAGGGGGACCTCTAATACCTGGCGGAGGGGGTCTCATTCCTGGAGGGGGAATGCCTATTGGCGTCCCTCCGGCAGGGGGAAGCCCAATTGGTGGGCCCATGGGTGGTCTCATACCACGTGGAGGAGCCCTGATGCCTGGAGGTGGTGTAGCTCCGCCCACGGGAGTGGGTGGGGTCCCCTGTCCCGGTGGGCACCGGGTGGGGGCTCCAGCAATGCTGGCAATAGCAGCAACTGCAGCAGCTGCTACAGTACCTCTTCCCTGTGGAGCCATTTCCTGTTGGGATGGTCCCCCAACCCCTCGCACGGGGCCTGCAGATCCAGCAGGAGCCGGGGGGATTGGAACACCGGCTGGCACTCCTCTGCCCGCTGCCCTGCCGACCCCAGGACCTCCTCCCGCTCCAGCAAGTGGTACCCCGAGCAATGCCAGGGTCTCTGGGGGGTGGTCCTTGACAGGCATGGAAACCCAAGTTCTCCCTACGTAGCAACACCAGACCCCCAACCCGCTTTTCTTCACGCTCTGGCCGCTTCGCATTCTTTGGCCTGATCTTGCTGGATTCATCATAATTCCGGAGGATCGCGTTCCTACGTTTGTCAAAAGCCTTAGAGGTGCCAATGAATGTTCGGTCATCTTGCAGGATACGCGTGGGTCTATAGTCCGTGTGCCGTGGCATCTTGCTGCTTTTTCCCACAGTCACGGCTGCTGTTGCACCCAATCCACCGTCCGCGGTAAGGTTTCAGGATCCTTAAGACCTGGGGGAAGGCTACAGATAAAGGTGTGACGGAGGCTCTCCTACACACAGTGCAAGCTTGGGGCAGAAGCTTCAAACAGTAGACGGAGGCTGCTTCTTCCCCTGGCAATCGGCTAAGCTGGATGTTCCAGTGCTGCTTTCACCACTGCTTGGTGTCCCAGCGAAGAATCGCCGTCCCAGTTCGGCCTGGAAATCCACCACAGGTACTTGCTGCTGCCGAGACCGCCTTGGGTACAGCTGACACTCTTGGTTGCTCAGGGAGGCTCTCCTTCGACATTTGACTTGGACTTGCACCTCGGGCACGTGCCGCAGTCCGTCTCAGGTGTAAGCCGTCCCTGGCTCGCTCCACCGCGCTGCTAGCCGCCCCTCAGAACAGACGGTCGGGCATCTCTGGCGACCACTCCGCTGTGCCAAGATCTGCATTATCTTAAATGCAATGATTAAATCTAAGCTAAAAAGTAGAAGAGATCTCCAGGGACCCTGTTTCAGTGATTAGATAATTATGTCATCTAATAAGCCTAATGAATTCCCCTGAAATCAGTCCCTTGGGGGAACTTTATTTGCTTAAACATTTTAGAGATCTCCCCTTACAATCTTATTTATGATTTTAATTTGTGCTCCTGAAAAATAGGTTTCTCAGAAAGGCTACATTTTGGCTCCCATGTTAACTGGAACCCATCAGGGGGATTTTATTGTAGCGGGCACTGGACGTGTGGATATCCTGATCACAGACAATCCTGAACTTCCTAAAGAAAAACTGAAAACATACTGTTTTTTTAGTCTTCAGCTTCAAGGCATTGTTACACTTAATTAGCTTTTGCTCCGTTAGGCACTGCACAGTTGCTTTTTTAAAAGTATAAAACATTTGGAGTCCCAGCCAAAAAAAGACGTTAACAACATATAATTATTATCTTGTTTTTCTTTAAACATCTTCAAGAACTTTACAAATTTTCCTATTCATTGTCATGCATCTTAGGGGGTTAGTATATTTACTTTAGTAGATTTCCTGGACTATTAATAAAATCCTAAATGTTACATTATGACAAGGATTCTCAACTCTGGCTGCCTAGGGGAATCACCTGGGGAGCTTTTCGAAAATATTAATGGCATGGCCCCACCCTAGACTAATTGAATTAGAAATTTTTGGAGTAGGGTTCTGGCACTGGTGTTTTTTAAAAGCTCCCCAGGTGATTTTAATGTCCAGCCAGAGCTGAGAACAACTGTATTATTGGAAATATTGACTACAATCTATGATTTGTTTCAGCAAGGAATCGTTTAATAAGGAATACTTTGGAAACACCCTTAATTTCTCAAAACAGAGTTTAAAAAATTATGCACATACACACACTCACACACACAGGAAATACATTGTATGTGTTTGAGAACTCACTTATGCTCTTGGGTATATGGAGCCAAACCTGATCCTTCAAAGTTTCCTTTCAAAGAAATATGTAAGAGGCCGACTACTTTCCATGTGTTGGAACATCATTCTTCCTTTCTTCAAGGTGAATTATATCCATTATTATCCTCGAATATTGTCTGTTTGAAATTGCATAGTTCTGCAACTGATCCTTGGTTAACTTGCCTGAAGACAGAGCTCACTTACTATTCCCCCAACTCCAGCTCATGGCGTTTAGACTTAGAGCAAGACTCGTGATTACCGTCTCAGGGGATACTATCTTTTTGGTTCGGAATAGTACATAAAACCTCAAATGACCCAGAGAAACTTGCAGAGCACGCGAGAAAGAGTAAGATCTTGAGGTAAAGGTGACAGGATGAAGCCAATCACAGAATCTCTTTCCTTTAATATGAGCAAAAAGGGATTTTTAAAAATAGCAAAAAGTGACCAATGGCCACCACGGAAGAAAAGTGGCATGACCTTGCGAAAATAAGAAACGGTGGCCGGAGGAAAGACTGGATAATTTGGGGGCTTATTCTGGCTCACTGGTGTGCTGGAGCAGGTTCCCACTGGCTCAGGAGAGCCTACTGATAGTCCAGTTTTCAGAGATTTTTCAAGCCAGGGATTAAATAGAGCAGTTCTTAAAAATTGCACTTACAATTAAACAAATTTTATTTAAAACAAAGATAGTAAATGCTCAAAAACACCGCTTTCTAATTATTTCACTTCATTTTACTCTTATTTATGCTTTTGAGGTTATCTATGTATCTGCAAGGTGGAAATACTGTTTAATAATGTGCTACGCTATATAGCGATGTGTGTTCCAATTCCACACTTAGTCTTGTCACGTTGGTGGCTTGAAATTGGCTACGGGGGGAATACTTATGCTGTGGAAACTGGCATACACTCTACATTAGGGATTTTTATTTTTGAGAGCCAGTCTTTAAACATTTACCACCACACTACTGCTCTTAACCTCACCCCCATGTTCCACTGACCATCACCTGATATGGTACCGGGGGGAGAAAAAAAAGCCAGTTGACAAAAACCCATATTCTCACCACTCACTCTCAATTTAGAGAGAAGTGAATTGATGAGGAGAATCAGAAACCCTAGGGAAAAAATCAAGGAAAAGAACTGAGTATTTCATCAGGGACAGAAGAAACCATCCTCAGTGTATGCCATTTACTAGGGATTCATACGGAATTGAGGGCATAATTCCAAGCCTAACATATTAAGAATAGGATTTGTCTCCAAGTATGAGGTCTGAATTCCTAGTGCAGAACACAGAAGATATTCTTTAAAGAGAGCTCGTGTCCACCAACAAAGGGGGCACACAACCCCAGTTGAACTCTATCTCTGCCCCTCTGGCCATATCATCAGTGTAGAGAAAAGTATATACAACACTTCATTTAGGACTCAAATTGGAGCTCTTAGAGGAAGACAAATGAGTTTTAGGTAGGTTAGAATGGGGTCAAGATTTCGCTCACACATGTCAGGGAAAACAAAAACGTCCAGTCAGCTGCCAACATCGAGAATGAGAAAGTAAAAATAAGATAAAAAACCAAGATGAAATGCTAAAACAGCAGATGGGGCTAAAAAGGGCGAAGTCAGAGTTAAGAAAACAAGTTGAAGACCAGCACAATACAATTATAGGTTGAATGAATTGATTGGAAACAGCAAGAAGAATGGACACCAGGTGAAATATCACATTATTGACAGAAAAGGTTTGGGGTTATACAGTTAGAACAGAGGTAAAGACAAATGTCAAATTTTAGACTATTAGTAACTAAATAGAATTTGGTAACACCTCAACTAGGGGATCAGAATTAACATCACAAATGAGGGACAGATAGACATCAGATGGGTGTGATACCCTGAGAAGGACACAACATTTATATGGAATTCTGGCTGGGAGTGTAAAACTGGAATCTAAGAAGCATTCTATTAAAAAGAGAAAAAGGTCTGTATTCTTTTAAGATGTCAGTGTCATAAAAGACAAATGCTGAAGAATTGATCCATACCTAAGGGGGCTGAAGAGGATGACCAGTGTTCTTGCCTGAATGTTTGTGTGCCCCCAATATTCATACGTTGAAAGCCTAACGCCCAAGATGATGGTTTTAGGAGGTGAGGCCGTCAGGAGACAGTTTGTTCATGAAGACAGAACTCTCATGAACGAGATCAGTGTCTTATAAGAGCAGCCCCAGAGAGCCAGCTCACCCCTTCCATCACGTGAAGCTACATGCAACAAAAGACAAAGTAGATAATTTTGGTTCCATCAACATTTTATGTTTCAAAGAATAGCAGCAAGACAGTGAAAAGACAACCCACAAAATGGAAGAAAATTTTTGTACGTCATGTATCTGATAAGAGATTTGCATCTACCATATATAAAGAACGCTTACAACTCAATAATAAAAACAACCCAATTAAAAAATGAGCAGGGGCGCCCGGATGGCTCAGTTGGTTAAGCGTCCAACTCTTGATTTCAGCTCAGGTCATGATCTCATGGTTTGTGTCTGTGCTGATGGTGTAGTGCCTGCTTGGGATTCTTTCTCTGTCTGTGTCTCTCTCTCTCTTTGTCTCAAAAATAAATACACATTTAAATAATGGGTACAGGGTTTCCTTTTGGGGGCGATGGTGAAAATGTTCTAAAATTGACTGTGGTGATAGTTGTTCAACTGTGAATATACTAAAAACCATTGAATTGTAGGCTTTCAATGGGTAAATTGTATGGAATGTGAATTATATTTCAGTAAAACTGTCATTAAAAAAGATTTGAACAAAGGGGAAAGACATAGCATGGGATTTAACTAGCATAAGAAAAAACTTTTGTGCTATTTTGGTTGTTTAACAGATCAGAATTTAGAATCACCCCACCTTAGCGCTAATGGACACAAGGAATGGCAATTCACTCTGGCAGTCAATTGCTCAGCAAGATGTTTACTGAGTTACTATGTGCCAGGCACTGGGCTGGGGGCTGAGGACAGTGAACAAGACAAGCATGGTTGTCATACTGACAGTAGTCAGAGTGTACTTCAAAGACATACATTAAATTACAAATTACACAACTGAATAAATGCCCTAGGAGAAAAATCCAGATAGTAGGAAAAGGTCACTGGAGGGTCCCAATCTAATCTGGGAAAGGAGGGGGGCTTCTTTGAAGAAGTGATGTTTGAGTTGAGCTCTTGAGGATTATCAAGAATACACTAGATGAAGACTGGGTGTGAGGTAGAGAGGATTCCAGACAGAGGGGCCTGGGCCTCCTCTGACAAGGAACCAGGGGCCAAAGGGCAGTGAGAAGTGGGGGGGGGCAGCATGGTGGGTGCTGGAGAGGCTGGCAGACCCCGAGGGCTTCATAAGCCACATTAGGAAATTGATCTTTATTTCAAAGGCCATGGCAAGCTGTTGACAGATTTTAAGGAGAGTGTTCCATTTATGTCTCTAGTATGTTTTCCTGTTAAGTCTCCCCCTGCGTAACACAAAAATAAAACTACCTGATTATGTCAGTGGAGGTGATGTGGCTCCCCCACTACCAAATTTCCTAGGCCATGGTTCTCATATTTTGGTCCCTGGGAAACAGCGTACACAATTCTCAGATGGAGAAGGGAGGGGAGAGTGTACAGAGGAGCCCCGAGGAAATTAAGCTGGGCCACATGAGCTTCGGTGAGCTCAGCGATACCAGTAACGCAATGATCCATAAGGACATATTGGCCTCTGTAAGCTCTGGATGTATGTAAGAGATGAGATCACTCCCTGTGACTCGAGGGTCTTGTTATTTACAGCTGCAGTGCTAAAAGTGGCACCATAGGCACTTCATAAAATATGGGTGGAGTAGCCCCTGGCCTCTGCTATATATTGCTTGGGCTATGAGCTGGTATCCTCAATTGAGTACAGGTGAAAACAGATGGAAAAAAAATCATCTTACAATTCTCGGTGTGTTTTCATTGCCTTAGCATCTGTTGGAAAATTTATTCTGAGAATAGCATCAAGGAGCTGATCTACATAGTGGGCAGTGGCCAACTGAGGCCTCTGAGAGATGGTTTCTCCATTGGCCAAGGAGCGCTTTGCCAAAGTTCTTAAGGCTATGATATTGCCTTGACAACACTGAGTAAAACAAGACACTGAAGTTCTTTAAATTTACCATAAGTCACAAGTTACACTTGCTCTTAATTCCAGATCTTGGGAATATGTGTTCTCTGGTTGATTTAACTTTTTTGTCTTGGCTGGATGTGGTGAGGGCATGCCTTCCATGTTGTAAATGGCAACTCAAAACACCTTTTGATTCTCCTTGCTCTTGACCTTCCCTTCTTCTTTCCTTGTCCTCTTTTACTATAATCCTCTTTGTCTCTTGATCTTTCCTTTGAGTGACCTGCTAGAATTTTGAGCTCTTATATATACATGGCTCCAAATGGATTTGGCGAGTTCATCATGATCAACCACCAAACAATACGTTACTGAAAACAATTCAATTCTACTATGTGCGAGGTATACACTCTGATCTCAAAGTAGCATTTTGACTCTTGTTGGTCACCCTACTTTCTTCTTTGGCTTCTCTGACACCCATCTCTCTTGCTTCTCTTTTGTCACGGCCCCAGTGATTGACACCTCAATATTCATTCAAACCCAAATATGACTAGTCTGAGCCAATCGTAATGGTTCTATTGTTTTTGACAATGAATGATTGCTTTAAGAACTTCTGCAGCCATTTTTCCTCCAGCTTGAGGAGGAAGCCAACACTATTCTGGACAAGTTACAAAGAAATGAAGTTGGAGCTCTGATGTAGTGTGCCTGGAGCCCATGCTAGTTCTGAACTTCCTGTTACATGACATAATTAGTTTTCTTGTTGTTTAAGCTGATGTGAGCTAGGATATTCTGCTGCTTGCATCTAAAAACACACTTACTGGGTGACTCAGTTGGTGAAGTGTCCAACTCTTGATCTCAGCCCCGGTCTTGATCTCCAGGTCGTGAGTTCAAGCCCCGTGTTGGGCCCTGCACTGGGTGTGAGGCCTACGTAAAAAAAAAATAAAAATATAAAATAGGGGTGCCTGGGTGGCTCGTTCGGTTGACGTCTCACTCTTGATTTCAGCTCAGGTCACAATCCCAGGGTCAAGGGATCGAGCCCTGCATCAGGCTCCATGGAGCCTGCTTAAGATTCTCTCTTTCTCTTCTCTCTTCCCCTCTCCCCTGCTCGTGCTTTCTGTCTCTAAAATAAATTTTTAAAAAATA